CAGTAACAGGTTGTTAGTATGGTAAATCACGTACAGATTTACATTAGCAGTATAACTATTACAGGGTGCAGCAGCATGTTGAGGATGCTGGTGACAGTGGGGGACCAGCCAAAGAAAGAATTTCCCACCGGTATGATTCTCCCACCCTCTTAATTGGTTCCATTACCTGCTTTATAACACCACCATCATATTAGAATCTTTCTAGCTTCTGCCTTAGCATTTTCTATGAGCTGCTGTAAATTTGCATGCTCTAACATCTCTTTTACAAAGGACAAATCCATACAGTACAAGGTGTAGTTTCTTATTAGCAACTGGCTAGTAAATACAGGTGGTTTATTATAGCTACATTGCAAGCACACATTTTCATGTTGTTACTTTTCAGTTGCGCCCAAGTGATGTTTTTCAAGTCATTCCTTTTTCTCTTCCTTTGTCGCATTCTGCTCAGGGTCTTCAAGGTCAGCTCCTGCATCTGAGGCATCGGATACTTCAACTTGTCTATCCAGCTCATGGTATGGCTTGACATGACAAACTTTGCAGGCAGGGGCCACGGACCTGTAGGTAGGAAGACACAAGCATACCCCCTCCCCCAGGTTATCACTTCCACTGGCCCTTCCCATTTCTGCGAGCCCAAAGGATCACAATACCACATTTGCTTTTAAGCCATGAGGATTTATACCCATGGCAAATGAGGACTGAGCTGTTGACTGACAGTCAGGGCAAGACCTAACTATTTGCTTTGCTTGAGAAGAAGACAGGTTTAAATGTTTCTTTAAAGCAGAGGCATTCTGATGAAAAAGGGAATGTGAAGCAGCTGCAAAAGAGAACTGCACAGTATTAACAGTAAAGGAGTGTGCTATGTCATTACCCACAGTTAAAGGGACAGGCAGGTTGGAATATGAGCTAATATGACCAGTAAAAACAGAATAATTAATGTAGCAGCCAGTACAGAAGTTCTGCGAGCTTCTGCTCTGACATCGCAGCATGCCCCAACCAGTGCGACAACATCCCTGCTCCAACATCTCAGCATACCCCAGGCAACTTAACTATGTAAACTTTTCCTCTGACTGGGGCTAACACAGCCCTGCAATCCCCACCTACCCCCTCATATGCTAGCCAAAATAAAAGTGCATGAGCAGCCCCGTGACCATCAATCTGCCTTTGTATAGCATTGTCCAATTGGTCTGTAAAAGACACAGAGGGTTCCTGAGACCCCCCCTCCGTAAACACCTGCAAAAGAAGTCTCCCCCCCCACCTCGATCCAGGCACTTTCCTCCAGGCCTGACCAATCGCGTGGGTGGCCCACTGGAACACCAGAGGGTTTAGATCTGATATATGAAGCCAAACAGAAACCACAGTAACTGTCTTCAGTCACTATAAATTCCCTTATATAAGCAATCACTCCTCGGGCTGTTTCCCAGCCCAACCTCGCACGCACAAACACTCCCTAGGCTGCTCAAGACCCAGGTGCACTACCAGCAGTTCTTCTTTAATTATCCACATAGTGGGAACAGGATGGCTTGCAGTTTTGTTTATCTCCTCCTTTCCTAGTCTCCCCTTATTGTGAGCTGCTTTGTCCAAGCCCAGCCCCAATAAATGCCCTAATTGGCTTAGCTTTTCAGTCACTTGTTCAATGGGGTTTCCTTGTTCATTGTGTCACACGCTGGTCAAAGGCCAGGGTGCAGTTTTGCTTATATTCTCAGATTCAAGCGCCAGGGAACTTTATTTGCTCACTAACAAATGCTTAACCACAAATTTCAAAGAGAGAGAGAGGGAGAAAGAAGGAAGAGAGGGAAAGTAAGAGGAAAGAATAAAAGAGCTTCCAGCAACAGCTACCACCCCAGAGCTGCAGTGTCCCAACAGTCTGCTCTGTTTCCAAGTCCAGGGGGAAAAGCGTTTCTTCCAATGCAGTTTGTTGGCGCTCCTTTGTAGAGCTGAAACCTCATCCTCCACCCGGCAGCAGGACACATGCCTTCCTTGGGTTCTTCTCCCTCGTTGTTCCAAGGTGTTAGCTGGGTAACAGCAGGGGGTAAACATCCTGCATAAACATCTGCTGTGGCGGTGGTGTCAGCCATGTTGGTTCTCACCGATGCCATCTTCACCAATGCAGTCTCTTATATCTCCCAGTGGATCAACATTACTGTCTTAGGAAGTGTTATTCATGGTGGCATGAACGATAAAGGTAGAGAAAACAGGAAGGGAAAGAGCGTGTGATGCAATAGCTAGTAACATCTGATAACTAACAGTGTCTAATTGACTTTGGCTTAACAATTACATCTAAGTAACTATTGTTGTTGCTTTATTCTTGTTGCTTTCAGCAACATCCGAGGGTTCAGAAGGAGGAGAAGAACAAAGTTTACAGGGGCCTTTACAAAGTGAGCAATTCCAAGGCCAAGTGACCTGTATCAAAATAGCAGTTAAACAGCTAATAGACCGAAGGCTGTGCAATAGACTGGTAAAAGTTCTTTCAGGTATTTCATGATTTTCCACGATTTAAGTGGAATAAAGTTGAGCGATTGCAGACTTCGTGGTTCACGCAGCCTGCTGTCCTGGTCTGCCAGAGTTGGAATCAGGATACACAGCAGGAAAATTGATTTCCACGCCCCCTTAGCTTAAGGCGCATGTGCTGTTTGGTTTTGAAATCTTCTGTCCCAGATTTAGGAGGGTGAAAATGAGCCCTCCATCAGCTGAACCAGCCAGTTCTGGGGTTTCTCTCCTGGTCTCTGCTTGTATTTGTCCAGTAAGTTACTCATTTCCTCAGTACTGTAGTCTATCAGTTTGTGTGTTCTTACCTGTCCATTTGCCCTGGTAATCATCTCACCTTTAAGCACAGGAGCTGCATGTACTCCTTCCTTTTTCATGTCTGCCTCGGCTTTGGTATTTGATTCTGACTTGCTGGTACCCCAAATATCTCCATTCCATGTCTCCGGGTCCCAGTCGGGATCTGACACAAGGGCATGGACCCATGGCCTCACTGCCTTTGTATCCTTTTTATTGCTCTGTAACTTTCTTCTTCTTTTTGTTTTCCCTAAGTCTCTCACCCTACTCTGCAGCAGCTATAAATGCCTGCCTCTGCAACAGCGCTTCTGCTTTAACCCTTTCTAGCTCGGAATGTAAATCTGCTACTTGTTGCTTCAACTCTGTGTTCTTATCTACCATGCCTTTGTAGGCAGGCAGCAAGCAGCCTGTCATACATCCGGTATGATTCAGTTGCTCCCTCGAGCGGTTATGGAGGGTTTCTACAAACTCAGCCCAATACTTTAACACTCCCGTGAGGTCCTTAGCTCTCTACAGTTCAGGTCCTACATTAGTGCAAGTCTCTATTTTATCCCACAACATGCTCCACAATTCCTGTGTCCACCCCGGGCACTCCACAGGAGGAGCTTCGGCCCAAGGCTCTCTCCTACGAAATATAGCAATAGTATATTACACAACAACCTTAAAGCGACCCTGACAGCACACACTGACCAAGCCCTGTTTTCACACACGCAGAACAGCGACTCTTGGTACAGCTACACACCCCACTCTAGTCATATTATCCAAAAATGTTTCTCACAGTCTCTCAGACCTGGAATCCCGTCTTCCATCACCAGTTATGTTCTGGGTTCATAGGATTCCCATGTACAAAGAGTGGATACCAAGCACAATGTAAACAAGCAAATGCTCTAGTCTGTTTATTGAGTTATTAGTGCAAAGCAAATTGTGTATGTTAACACGAAGCAGGTTACATACATGCCAACCCCTGGTTGAATGGGATACCGTGAAGCAGGAGATGGAACATGTTGCCTGGTCGGAGGGGTGGTAGGTAGTGTGTCGTCAGGGCATCCTCTGAATCAAGATGCGTGTCTGGCCTTCTCACCCGTACATCCCTGCACAGGTCCTTATACCCCCCCCTCGGGATGGAGTGGAAAATTACCAGTTGCAACATCAGCGCACACGTGGCCAGCATGTGAACAGAGGCTTACTGGTATAAGGCTCCCTTTTGCTAACAGTGGTGTTAACTCGCCTGTTTTCAGGGTTATGTTCCCACAGCCCATGTCAAACAGTACTTTTCTATTTTTGTGTGTTTCACTACGGACCATTCTCTCTTGTCACTGGCGTGTGCCACCCCATGGTCCGTGGTTGGAACACACAAAAATTTTACCATCCGTACTACAGATTCGCACAGGATATTGTCTGAGGGAACGGATTAGCGCTAAAAGACAAGGAACTCAACATAAAATACATAAAAAACCCTATATCTATTACCACTAATAATATAACAGCTTTTCACAGCCAGTTACACCCCCACATCCATCCCTGAAAGGGGTTCCACCTGGTGTTTTCTGGCTAGTGAGGGTCTCTAACTTCTGTATTTGTGCATGTACTGAACTGGAGTGGTCACTTAAATTCATGCAGCATAACCGGTCAAAGTCTTCTTTTGAGCGTCTTGACAGTTTATACGAAGTCTCTATACTGTGCTTCTTGTCCTGGGATAAGTTTCCTCCCATGGTTCCTGAGCGCTCACCTATCCAGTGATGGGCATGCATAATCCTTTCGTAATCCCGGGTTCAGTTGGGCTATGCCACCAGTCCGGACTTCGAGAGTCTCCTACTCCAGTCCCTGTTTGGGTGCCATTTGTGGCCTATGAGGCACGGACTCCAGTTATGGTGCAACTAAAGACGTTTATTGAGTGATCTTACAGGCTTATATAGCACTGTGCCTAGCAGTTAGCTCCTTCCCTACTTTTCCATCACGAAACAATGTTCCTTCTCCACCGGTGTGTGCTTTTCCAGCTAATGCCTTTACTGATCACATGCCTTTCGGCCAGTTGTATTACTGTCCACATGTCTTTGCTTAAGCAACTATTTTTATCAAATATATAAACATGTTTCTGTGCTACCACTTCTTGCTACGTTGTTATTTTCCGTTCTCCGGGAACACACATTCTTTGTCCCCTTGGCCCACAGCAAACTCTGTAAGTAAAGTGGTAGTACCTGTATAAGCTGTGTATTACCCTACAGGTGGGAACCAGCGTGAACTTGCCCGCCAAAAGAACCTGAAGAAGACTCAGGAGATCCATAAAGGGAAAAGGAAGGAGGATAGCTTGTCTGCTTCTCAGAGAAAACAGAGGTGAGATGTAGTAAAGTTGAAGGGAAAATGTGTCAGAAAAAATTCAGTCTTCACTGAAACAGCATTTAAGCACTTTATTTTGATTTGCAGTCCATTCACATGTCACAGTATGAATTTGGGTTTTAATGCATCTGTTGTTAAATACCTTTTTTTTTTGAAAGCTGTAAAGGTTTTCTTTCTTTTGAGCAGCTTTTTGCCTGGAATGAACAAGGAATGGTTGTGTTAATACTTTCTTGAAGATGTTTGATCTGGTTTGTCCTTTACTTCTAAAGCCAAAAGATATAAAACCAAAATAATTCTATAAGGTATACAAATAACTTATTACCTCATGGGGTACTGTACTGAAAGGAGAAAAAAAAAAAAGCAAACCAGGGGCATGTAGGCAGCATGCTCATGGCTGAGAATTTTCTCCCATTCTTAAAATGAGTGTTGCTAAAGGTGTTATTAAAAGCAAGATGGAGAAGGCCCTGCTTAGAAACACTGTGAGCCGGGATCTGAAATCCAACTTTCTTTCTTCACAGAGACTCTGAAATTATGCAGCAAAAACAAAAAGCGGCTAATGAAAGGAAATCTCTGCAGGCAGGAGCAAAATGAGCTGCTTGGAGGGAGTGCACCAATGAAGAGAAGGGCCTGGAAGATCATTCACAGAAGTGTCCAGCCATTAAATGATTAAAATCTCATCTTGCGAAGTTGCTCAGCTAGCATTAGTTTAGAGTATTTCTGGTTATTGTAGGCTTAGTTATCTGGAGTGCTCTTTGAAAAGTCACTACACTCTCTGCATGCATATAAATAGAAATACCAAGCAATAGTACTTCAGCTTTTGCTGTGTTGGTTTCACTTAGTGGTTCCAGTGACAATAAACTTGTGTATTTAGTTAGACCAGATTTTCTTGTCTTAATTCTTGAAGTACAGCTTCATTCAGAATGGAAAACACTTGTAAAAGGTGCTTAACTTTACAGAGGTCTGACTGTAAATCTCATCCTAAATTATTTTTGCAATAAAATGTTGCATGAAATACTGTCTGATCTGAAGTGGTCATGCTTGATTTCTAAGAAGCTACCAAGAACACAAAGAATTGATGGAATTGTGGAGAAATGCAATATAAGTACAAATAGAGGTATAAATAAAATTGGTAATATAAGAAATGCATATTATAAGCAATGTAATATGCAGTGGTAAGTCTGCACTATAGAAAATAGTGGTGTGTTGGAGACTTCATCAGTGTATGTAACTGAACCTACTGCTGATACTGGCTTCAGTGAAGCTGCAGCCTTGAAGTTAATGAGTTGCAAATTTATGGGTCTTGAAGTTGCCGTGTCACTAAGATGATTTAAAACTGCTGCTTAATGTAGCCTAAAGCACCAAACCTGGCATGAGAGCACACAGTGCTCACTTCACAGGCAGGCTGAGTTGTGTACTGACTGAGGTAAAGTGTGACCTCTCTGGGAACACAGGTGGATGCCTTAGCTTGTGCACGGCTCCCGCTGCAGTATGTTCTGAAGCAACGCGTGTGCCCTGGGTTTAGCTGTAACAATTTTACTCCTTCCTAGCAGTTGGTGCAGCCTGTGTTTTGGCTTCAGTCTGAGGACAATGCTCGTAACACCTTGGCGTTGTAGTTGAGCAGCTCTTACCCTGATCAAAGACTTTTCAGTATCAGTGCTCTGCCCATGAGGAGGGGCAGACACAAAAAAAATGGGAGAAAGTAAGATTGGACATCTGACCCAAACTAGCCAAAGGGCTATTCCATACCACAGCACATCATGCCCAGTATATAAACTGGGGGGAGTTACCCAGAAGGCCCAGATTGTTGCTCTGGTCTGGCTGAGTATCAGTTGGCAGATGGTGAACAGTTGTATTGCGCATCGCTTGTGTTTACTGTTTATTATTTTATTTTTTATTTTCCCTTTTTAGTTTTATATTCTCTCTCCTTATTACTTACCTTACTATCAGTAGCAGTAGTGGTTTTGTATTACAACTTAGCTACTGGACCGTTCTTATCTCAACCCGTGGGAGTTACATTCTTCCAGTTCCCCTTCCCATCCCACCGAGAGGAAACTAAGAGGGAGGAGAGCAAGCGGCTGAGCGGTGCTGACTTACTGGCTGGGTTTAAACCAGGACAAGGGGGCCTGGTCTGGCAGCTAGGGGGAGCTGCCGCCGCGCCGCTCCCGCCCTCGGCTGCGCGGGCCAAGCGCACGGCCCCGTCCAGCGCCGCGGGACGCAGTAGTGCTGAGGCGGCGCCGGAGCGCCGTGCGCTGGGCCGCTGAGGGCCCCGCCCGCCACCGGGGCGCGCACAGCTGACGGCCGGCGCTGCCTGCAGCGTGGCAGGTTGGCTGCGCGCCGGAAGTGACGAGTGTGAGCGTGGTTAGGGCCCGGCCATGGCGGAGCAGGTGCTGTTCAAGCGCGGCACCGGGCAGGTGGGCGTCGCGCGGGCGGGGGCTGGTCCGGACGGGGGGAGCGGGACTCGGAGCGCGTTAAAGCGGGTCTGTGGCCTCTGCAGAGCGACGATTCGGATGTATGGGATGATGCGGCTCTCATCAAGGCGTATGATAAAGCTGTGGTCTCTTTCAAGGTAAGGGAGGCGGCCAGAGCGCTGCGGGCCCAGGCTGGTGGGTGCTCGCTTATCGTGTTCCTCCTTTATGTTCCCGAAGAACGCCTTAAAGAACGGGGAGTGTTCGGAGCTTTCGGGCAAACAGGAGCACCGCCAGGGGATGAAGAGAAAAAACAATAAAAAGAACAAAAACAAAAGGAGGACCAACCTGCCTTCGAAACAGGTCATCTGCGAACGCTGGCGGTGCTTCTGCTATTGTGCTTTTCTGTGATGCTCATTAGTAGCTTCTGTGTAATCTTGAGAGTAATGATCCGTGGTAGGGTTGACAGCATTTGAAACTTACAGGTTACACTGAGCAATTTCGCTAATACAGAGGAAAAAAAAAACTGGGTGGGAGTCATCCTCCTGGTGGGTGGGGCTAAAAGCACTATAGGAAAAGGAATCTTTCTCTCTGGTCATTGGTGTAGGTATTTACTCGCCTCTCTTCTGTTGCAGTGGAAAGTTGGTGACAGCTGTAATGCTGTTTGGTCTGAGGATGGTAATGTGTACTTAGCAACTATTGCCTCCATCAATCACAAAAGAGGCACATGTGTTGTTACTTACACGGGATATGGAAACCAGGAGGAGAAGAGCCTGACTGATCTACTCCCTGCAGCCATCGATGAAATAGTAAATGGGATGGGGAGTTCTGGGGTGGTGAGGGACACTTTAGTTCTTCTAAAAAGAGAAGAGAAAGTGGGAGAAACAACTTTCTAAGTATTTCTGGTACCACTGTGGTGTTCGGAGTGAGAATCGATACCCGATTCCTTTGTGAAGGGACACAAGCTGATAAAGGGAATGAAAACAACCCCTTACTTCTTGAACTCAGAATGGAAGAAAGGGAGGGGACAAGAAGAAATTCATGAGTGAAAGATAAAGTGGTGAGCAGATAAGATTCTGAGGTAGTAAGATCTTTCCTGGGTAGGACTGGGAGGGCTATAGAGAGAGGGGGGTGAAATGGGGCTTCCCAAGCTTTTTTGCGCTAAAATTGCTTGCAGTAGTGCCAGCAATCCTCTTTAGTGCATCTCATAAGAATGTCTTTGTCTTCTAGAATGAGAGTGAGACTCCGTGTTCAACAGATGGAAGTGAAGGATCTCAGTCACCTGGAAACAAAAACAGCTTCATGAAAGGAAGATTCTTCCCTGAAAACCTGCGTTTTCCTGTACCACCAGGAGTTCCAGGCCTGGGAAGGGTAACCTCAGCCTTAATAATTCGTATACCACTGTTAAGCCCAGTATTATTACTATAAATTCTGAGACAACAGGATGAGATTCATTATTGTCTAGAAACCAAATAACAGCATTTTGAGAATGTATATACAGATATGCATGTGGTGCTGTTGGTATGTCACTTTGCAATAATCTACCTACTTTTGCAGTGCTACTGTCTAGTGAGAAGTCTTCTCCTTGGCTAACATCTGCTTTATGAGTGCCTTGTAACCTTAAGGAGGGATGTTGTTTCCTTGCCTGTGATAGTGCTGTTAAGATTGCATTGGCATTGAAGGCAGCAAAAGTGGTGTCCAGGTGTCATAGGAGCTCTCAGCTGCAGCTTATCTAGTGAATTATGAGGACTGTGGTATTAATACACTCTTCAGTTTTCCTGTTGTGTAGGAGCCTAAATGATAGTGCACTTGAACACAGCATTATATCTTCTAAATGTCACTGTTTGTGCAAAATCTTTTTTTTTTCTTTCACATCAATAGATTTGTAACTAAGCTCATTTTAAAGATATTCACAAGCATACTGGAATTCAGTCAGCATATGTCCCCAGCCACACAAGAGCACAGAAATTGACTGTTTGCCTGTGGGCAAACATCTTTTACATTTGCCAGTGCAGTCACTGACTTCTGTTTAGAAAACTTTCTTAAATGCTTGTATTGACCAGGATCGTGTTTCAGCAGTGTTTACTGCAGTAACATGTGTAATGTTCAGTTTTACTTTTCCAGTCATGGAGTGCTTCACAGAAGCAGCTAGTTTGTGTAGTCACTAGTTTCATTAAATTGCTGGGATGGGGTTGGATGTGTCTTTAGTTCAAGGTATGTTAATTGCTTCAAATAATTCTCTTATAAAATCGTAATGCCTGAAATCTCTTTTCAATCTGCAATATTTAATTCTTTCACTGTAGTCTGGATCAAAATTCAGGGCACCTCCATCGTTTTTGTCTTGCTGGCCCACACCCTTCCCAGCAGGACCACTGGTAAGTCACAGGAGAATGAGGAAGAAAGTGCCAGAGAATAAAAATGATTGTGTGCAGTCATCCTACAGGAATCCTGTTTCTCCCATGCTTTGAACTTACTCTTTTTTGCTTGCTTGTTTCCTTGAGAAAAGATGATCTTATTTAACTCCTTTTCAGCACATGCATTGAGTATATACTCATGTTTTTCAGTTTTATATTTTGATCTTTGATCTAGAACTGGTTGGTGTTTAATCTGGGATATGCCCTACTGAAACAAAGACATTTCCTTTTTTCATTTCTTAGTTGATTCCTCCTCCACCACCTATGAGGCTGGATTCTGAGGATGATGAAGCACTGGGGAGCATGCTGATAGCCTGGTATATGAGTGGTTATCACACTGGGTATTACCTGGTATGTGCCAGTTTTGTCTTGGAGTGTCTCTAATTTTGCTTTTGTGTTGCTGCTGCTGTTTTCAGCAATAAGTTAGACTGCTTTTTAGATCTCTTATTCTAACTTATGATAGCTGTATTTAAGGGTATTCTATATTGTATAAGTGTTCTTGTGCTTGAGTATGAGTCGCATGAGCCAGCATATATGCATAGGTGACGGTTTAGTTCTTTGATTCACTGGAGTGGTCCCATTAGGTACTTTTATAGCTATTCTGAAACAACCAGTTTTGTCTTTGCAGACAGGTGGAGAAAGTCTGAATATGTTTATTAATCAGTGGTCTTCTATGTATTTGTCAGTAGTAATACCACATTTTTGATCAGATTTGGCATCCAACCCAAACTATTCTGTGATTCTATTCTATGAATTTTGTGGAGTATTCATCAGTAATTGTTTCAGGTGACTGTGAAGGTGCAGCAGGAGCTGTGAGTGTAGTTGTGAAAAATCTGTGGCATGGAGTATTGATTTCTATTTCCTTTGTACACTTAAGAAGAAATTACCAAAGGAATTAAAACTCTTTGCATTGGGGAAGTTGGAAAGGGGAGATTGGGTGCTGTAGGTTATCTTCAAAGGACTAGGTTTGGAATTTGTTTTTTCAGATCACATGTAGTTGTGGATTGAAATTACACTGCAGAACCACTAATTACAAAGAAGACACGTAGTTTGGCTTTTGTCCTTTTAAAACCACCCATTCTGATTTCTCCAAAGAGTACAAAACTATTATTGATTTGTAAAGGGCTAAAAGAATATTGTAAAAAGAGGTGTTGTCCTGTGGCTAAAGCTTTTATTTCTACGTTAGTAAAACCAAGATTATTTTGCTAAATTGTACCCTGTAGGGTTTAAAACAAAGTCGAATGGCAGCAGCACTGGAGCGACAAACACATGCAAAATAACTGAATATCCATGATTGTTTTGAAAGAGTTGTATCATCCTTTTGGGCTAAATGAAGATACAGTGTGGCTTGACCAGTCTGAAACTACAGTTCATTTTGCAAGCTCTCAAGAAGTTCTGAATTCTGTGAAAAAACTGGGAGCCTTGGGACTTCCACCCACTTTTACATCTCTTCGAAGACCACTTCATCCAGTATTAATCCCTTCTTTGCTTATCAGCTGTGGAATAGCAGCCGTCTTGGCTAGAACAGAGGCAAGTATTTTATTTCTGTAATGAGAGTTTTAACTACAGCATGCCTTTACATCAGGATTAACAGCACGGCTTACTCCAGTTACCAAGAGTTAACCTTATTTGTTTATGGGCTACTTTGAAAATAAAAGGTTATGTGACATGCAGTCTTCTCATCTATGTGCACATGTTCAGAAGCAACTCCTTCCTCAAACAGTGGGATTGCAGGATGTGTAGCTGAACTTCTTTTCAGGTCAAGATCAACATTTCAGTTTGATATTGTGGAGTGATTCTGTTCTCACTACTTCAGTGCTTGAGCTTTTATTTGAAATCCTGTGTTTAGAATTCTACAGTATATTGTTCAGTTCCTTATAGAACAAAATTGTATTGTCTTGGGGATTTCTCTTTTCCAAAGCAATATCTGGTTTGCTGTTGAGTAATTCATTCAGCCAGGTACAAATCTTTTCTGCTGAGAGGTGTATCTTGCATATTCACAGCTAGTTAATGGTGAAGATCAGAATTTTTTTAAGAAATTAATCTTAACATTTTGTTAACACTGATCTGTATCTGATAACAAGTGAACTCGAGACTCATAATTGTGTAGACTGAAATTACCTATTTCTTAAAGACCTCTAGTCAAATGTATTTGGAGAGCACTGTAGCAATAAACTATTTTTTACTTTCCTGAAACAATTTTCTGTCTTTTTACCATAATAGATTTTACATCTTTTAACCCCATATGATTTCGTGTATCTGTTATTTTATCAGCTCTTGTATTCCCTGGACTTTTTATGTGAATGACAACACCAGAACCTAGTGATTACAGTATACTGTTTTAGGAGACAGCTGTAGCAGCAGTATATGTTACAGTAGTCACTGGTAGCAGTGGCCTGGAAAACAGTATACCATGATGTTGAAAGAGATATCTTATAGCTCTGTTCTGAATCCTGAATGTGACATATGACAGCTGGATTCATAAAGGCTCATTATATATTTTTTTGTTTCAAATGCTTGTGAATAGTTTTACTTTTCAAACTTTGAATTTAGGGATTTGTTTTGTTTTGGAGTGGTTTTTATTTTTAGCTTCTGTAGACAGATGTCTGTCAAATGAACAGCAGAAATACAACAGAAGATTTTGCTGTGTGGCCTTTTCCCAAGTACCGTAACTAAAAGCAAGTTGGAGAAAGCAGACTGGGGGAAGGTAAGTGTGGACCAAACAGGTTTCAGCCCTTAAAATCTTAACTCTCATAGAACGGAGGCTGCAGCCAAAACTCTGGACAGTAATTTAGTTCATGCCATAATGCTCCTCTATCTCTCCCCCTCCTCCCTCTAACAGTCTATCCCCCAGTTTTGCTGTGTGCCTGTAAAAGATCCAACGCCCAGCTCTGGTAAGACACTGATGCATTACCTTGGCACACACCACTGCAGAGATGAGGAAGATGCAGGCAGAGCAAGCAGGGTGGCCATAGCAGACACCTTTTCTTTGCTTGAGTGGGGTGTTAGGCATGCTAATGCTCAGCGTCAGTTCTCCTAACATCCTTTTGCATGAGTTAGCAAATAACTGCTTTGTCCTTCTTAGTGTGTATGCTCAAGGTGTCTGGACAACCCAACCCAAGAGGAGCTGTGAACATCGCCCACAGGTATATGTCCTGCACAAAACCTATCCACTAGCTTCCCACAGTCCCACAGACTTGGACTTGGCTTTTTCCCCTCCCACCAGCTCCTCTGCAGCAGTTCTGTGGCCATGCTCTGCATGCTGGGTTGGGGTAGTTTGCTGCCAACAGAACAACACACTGCCATTCGCCAGCAAAGGATGATTGCTGTTCATCACTGCAAAGCTGATTGCCAGTAGCTGCCCTGCAGAGATGCTTTCTCCACAGCTGGGGTCAACACCTGCAGGCAGGCAGCCACTGCTTGGGAGCAGATGATTGAGCACTGCAGGTATGTGAGCCACAGGGCTCAGAAACACCTTTACCTTCTGCTGCAGAAGGGAGCTGCAGCAACTAAGCAAGCAGTTGTTTTAACTGCAGTCAAAAAACTTTAAAAAGTCAACTGTTTCAAACATAAGTAGTGACAAGCAGGAATTGCATGGTCCTTAATGAAAGGGAATGTAATTTTTATTAACTCAAATACTGTCAGTACTTCTCTGGGTTTACTGACAGTAAAGTGGGTTTACTGACACTAGCCTTCTCAAATACAGCTTATCTTGGAGAAGTAGTAACACAGTGCTGCTAGCACTGTGATACGGCAACCACAGAAAATACTTTACTGTGTCATGGTTCAGAATGCAGCAGATGGCTACAGTTCAGCTCCATAGAGTCAAATTCCACTCCCCCACCTCCAAAGGGCTGTGTTTATCTTGGAGAAGTAATAACGCTGTAAGTTACTGCTGTCGTGGCAATTCATTCTGGCGTCAGAATCAAAATAACATCACTGTCATCAATATTGTGACCATCAAACAATGAATTGTAAAATCTCAAGTCTTAGACCTTTGCAAATTCATTGCCTTTCAGAACCTTACACTCCCACAAGAAAGTGAGACCTACACCACTCAACAACAGACACAGCAGTCACAGAATTCAGCTGGCTTTGAGTCATACCATTAAAACCCAAAATGTGTTTTCAGCACATTTGTAACAGCTGTATTTGAATTGCCCTACTGAAGGCCAAGGTGAATAGCCATGCTATTTGACATTATTATCTGAAAGGTCTCCCAATTAATTGCTCAAAAACATTTTTATTAATTACTTAAAAATAATAATTTTGATCTACAAAACTGTATCATCCACTAAAACTTGGAGCTTATGGATATATAAAACATATTTTCAGGACTTCTGAACATACAATGAAAGGTGAATTGCCATATTATCATAAAACCAGTTTTGTCACTTTCACATTTATAAATATACATGTTACTCAGAGTAACATTCAGAAAACCAGAGCTTTTGGACAAGAACAAAGAAAATGGATACATATAATTCAAGAATATATTAGAAGTAGCAAAATCATTAATACATTAGTAAAAAAGTTTGCTCCCAAGCCAGTGTTCATCCTTCTGTAATCATCTATGTCCTTGTTGCTTTGAAGTGTCTCACTGAAAGCCATGGCTGAATATGCAAACCAGATTTATGCAGGAATTACACTGATACGACATCATGCAGACGTGGCAGCAGAGTTCCCATGAACACACCCAGGACAGCAGTGCAGACAATCATGAATAAATAGATCACAATCCACGCAAAATACATTCTGACACACTTTACATATGTAAACCTATGTGGAAAAGATACAAAAGTCAAATTTAGATTAAAGAAGAAAAAAAAATAGTCCTGCAGTAGGTCAACAGCTGTGTCATCAAGACACTGTAAACAGACTGTACTCCTAACATCACAGAAACCCAGTTAATTAAAGTTTCTAACAGCAGGTATGTCCAAAGGGCTGAGCCTGAACCACTGTAGATGCCTCCAAACGGGTGAGTGGAAGCTTATTTATGCAACTGTCAAGGAAATCACTTTCCACACCTTTATAGTCTTTGCAGTCTAAAAGGCATGACTCTATAACAGAGAAGTTAACCATGAAATAAACTTCCACACATATTTTTCTCATCTTCAGAAGACTATACTAAAGGATCATCTCTGCTTCTGACACTCCTCAATGAGAATTCCATTGCAGTTCAACATACTTACATTTTGATCTTTCATTTCTCCCTGGCAGCCTTGACAACACCTAAAAGCAAAATTGTGTATTTTAACTGAAAAAAAAGGTCATGATTGCATGAAAGTGTTTAAGAAACATCTCATACATAGTAACAACTTATGGCAACTATTTCATCTATTCAACCAAACACACAGGATAACCATTTACAGGAACGACAAATATTTCTTATTGTAGGTGCCCCAAATCACCCAAACATTCAATACTGTTTCCACACCAAAGAAGGTACTGCCAGCTATGCTTACTTAAGTGATCAAAATTACAGGGTCCGCAAGTACACTCATTATCACAAATATGATTTGCATACCGTTCCCCCTGATACTCTGTCAGAGGAACTTCCTGAAAGGCATCCAAAGGAAACAAGTGATGGTATGACCGAGCCAGATGAGGTGCAGAGACTAATGTGAGACCTGCAAATAGACATCAAAATTGGTACAAGAAAGGACTTGCTGAAAAGCTTTCCTGTATTAAACAAAGTGGGGGGGGGGGGAGGGGGAGAGGAGATATTTTTCAATTACTCAGTGGTTCAGAACATTTAAGAATTAAAAACCATAAAATTGTTTCTTAGTTTGCATAATCCAAACCTGTAATAATTTCCAGAGTTAAACCCAAATACGAAGAAGCCCAAATTTTCTAATGAAAAGGTTTAGCTCAATATTTAGAAGTACATTTACAATGCACAGTTGTAAAGTTAGGAAGTTTTTCATCCTCATGCCATGAGCAAAATGCAACCATAGAGAAGCCATCTGTTTAAATCTAAATGCACTCCGGTTCCAAAGTCCTGTTTGGAAACAATAGTTCTGCTGTTTCATGTCACCAGTTAAAATGATGTCTAACTACAAAGCTCTACTTCTAACATGCCGCAGCTCTGTTTCAGCTAACACAGGTCTACTTGTTTTGGCTGGGGTAGAGTTAATTTTCTCCATAGTGGGTCTAGGCTCTGTTTTGGATCTGTGCTGGAACCAGTGTTAATAATTCAGGAATGTTTTAATTACTGCTGAGCAGTGCTTACAAACAGTCAAGGCTTTTTCAGCTCCTCACCCCACCCCACCATTGAGCAGGTGCACAAAGAGCTGGGAGGGGACATAGGTGGGACAGCTCACCCCAACTGATCACAGGGATATCCCACACCATATGGTGTCATGCTCAGCATAGAAAACTGGGGAAGAGGAAGGAAGTGGGAGGACACTTGGAGTTATGGCATCTGTCTTCCCAAGTAACTGTCAGACGCGACAGAGACCTGCTTTCCTGGAGATGGCTGCTGATGGGAAGCAGTAATTAATTCCTTACTTTGCTTAGCTTGTGCACATGTTTTTGGCTCTACCTATTAAGTTGTCTTTACCTCAGCCCACTAGTTTTTTCACTTTTACTCTTCTGATTCTCTGCCCAATCCCACTAGCAGTGCGTGAGTGGCTGTGTGGGGGTTAGTTGTCAGCTGGGGTTAAACCACGACAACAGGTTAGCTGGGGTATGGGCTGGCACAAACTTCTTCATCACTCGTATGCAGTGTAAACTTCTGAGCTCTTGTTCTACTGACAGCTATAGCTGTGGGGAATCTGTTGTTGATACATAGGATTTCTCCAGTTACCCTACTAATTTGCTGAAATGCAACTCATGCTGATATGAAAACCTTCACATAAAACTAGGACAAGGTGACCCAAGCTAAAGTTATTTCATTTTCTTGCCAAATACACACATCTTGAAAACACCTATAATTTAGTCATATGCCTGTAGAAGCTAACATGAGGACAGCTGTCGCTCACACTGCATTAATACTCTAAAAAATGCTGATCCTCCCTCCTACCCTCATTAAAGCAGGGCAGGGGCACCACTGGTTGCATTAACTTTTGGAACACCAAAGGGCTTCCA